GGACATGAGTTTTTTTTTTAAAAAGTTCATTACATTCACCTATTTCGTACCTGTATGTAATATCTGATTCGAAAAAAATGAAATTTAAAACAGGGTCGGGTCTGAATTTCTCGGGACAACTAAATTTCTAAATACAAATAAATACGAAATTGTAGATGTGAGGAAAAAATTGGAAAATTCATAAATTACAATTGGATATATTCAACAAAATATTTCCAAATTAATTTGAGGGCCTCTCTTATCAAGAGGAACAGAACGAATGAGTAGATTTAAGATCATTTCATTCTGTTACATGTACAGTAGGTAGGCGACAAATTTAATGAGAGCAAGATGCCTTGAACTAAACCCAAATAATCTTAATTATAAAATTTAATTATTTGAATACTTCAATAATTTATTTTAATAAATTTTTACAAGAATTCCAAAGTATCCAAAATAGCTCCCATTTTCTTAGTGTTAATAAAAATTTTATATACAATTATATGTACAACTTCTCTATAAATTCAAGTTAATAATCCCCTTTATTCAATCAGCTGTGGTCTTCTATTTTCCGTGCTACTGTTGTATTGAGAAATTTTCTTTCATTATGTAATTAAGAAATTTTCGAAATCCACTTTAATTGATCAAACGTTTATTGATTTCAGTATGAAAAAAAAGAGCAATCTGCCATTCCTGTTTTATATTTTAAATAAATTAATTTTCTACATTATTGGCGAAATTAATTGATAAATGAATAATTGTTGCCTACCTATAGGCTTTATATAATTAAGAATATTATGCCCAAAAGATTCTTTTTAAAATTCCCAACTTAATAATTTCAATTTGCATTTTTTTTTCTTGCTTTTTAAATAAATTTCTTAGAAATGAGAAAGGAATGAGGCTTTAATGCTTTCATTTATATTTTATACATTCAATTCCCATTCAAATTATAACAGTATACATTCATATATACTTATGTATGTTTGTGTTTTAGGTATAACAATATTCCTGCTATAGTACACAGTAGTACATACAAAATCATTCATCCTTTAAAGTCCATTTTATTGTTTCCGAAATATCCTACTGTTTCATTTTATTTATTATTTGTTTCCTTTTTTTTTTTGTGTTATTTATTTTGTTTTTCATTTTAACACAAAAATAACAATGGTAATGGCAATAACAATAACAATTGTTAATTCAATCGTCAGGTCTCATCAATTATTATTGAATTCTTCCCGTCTGATCAATTTTGTATAAATTAAAGTACTTAATTTGTTTGGAACGAAAAAAAAAAACAAAACAAATTTTTTTTTTATCGTTTTGTAATTTCTCTCTGCGCTATTTTTTATTTTTGTATATGTGTGTATAGAAACTACTGTTTTGTGTCTTCATAATGATTTTTCCTGCAAACAATTAGTGTTGTTTTCAATTGTATTTTAGGGAAATTAATAACTCTATTGTTACTCGTATTAATTTTGCTTTGTGCTTTGTCCTCTCGCTTGTTCGTCTATTATTTTGTCACTTCAAATGTTAATAAAGTGCATTTTCATAAAACTCTTACCTATTTACGCATTTTCTTACAAATATTTCAAATATTTCTCGTTCTTTTTAAATTATAACAATTTATGCCCAATTGTAAATAAACTCAAATTCTGTGCCCTCCATAATTGTAAAAAGTGAATATTTTCATGAAAGTCTCAATTATCATCGTGTTTAATTAATTAATTTATTAGCCGTTAACTGTACTCGTCTGTTAACACTACTGTTACAGACAGATCTGTCTTACTAATTTTGTATAACAAATTAAATTTTTAAAACAAAATGTGCTATTTTTTAAAGTAAGAAAAATGTCTCTGTCTACATTAAGAAAGTTTCTCTAATAAATTTAATTTGATTAATAATTAGTACTGGATTCGAATTTTTGATAATTAATACGGAAAAATATTTGAACTCTACAGTTATCTACCGGGAGTATTTTCTAATTCTACAGAATTAGAAAAATATTATCATTGAACTAGTTTTAAACCTACGATAGTAGCAAGAGTTTTTCACTGCGCAGTTGTTTACTGCACGATCAGCAAAACAGTGAACCTCTTCACTCAAACACGCACAAATAATTCGTAATGACCATAATAATAAAATATGAAAGAAAACTTTTCTAGTATATGTTTTGAACTTGCAAGTAAAAGCTGTTCAAGTAAATTTGTTTTATTAGTCTTGTAATGTTTTCATTCATTGTGTAAGGCATAGAATTCGTATCATAATCCATAGTATATTAATAAAACAATTATGAGTTTAAGGGAAAACAAACGCATTGAATTACAAATAAGATCAATTAAAAAATGCCTGAAAATATTAACAACATACACAAAAAAAAAAAATTATTATTCTATTGAAATTTCTGACAAAAAAACAAAATTTTATTTCAATTCATTTAATGAAAATTTAAAATATTAAGGGAAAATCCTTTAACACTTTTATTTCTCTCCATTCTCTCTATTTTATTAATAACAGGAAAATAATTTTAATTGGGAATCCATTCTATATTAAATTGGTAATGGCTTTCAGTCAGGGCGTAAAAATTATTTACTATCGAGTAATAACAATAATAAACAAAAACAAAAAAAATATACAAGAAATAAACAAGAATAAAATTTTAATACTGTTATACAATTATACAATTTTAGTAGTATGCGTTATGTATAACCGTATATAACCTTATATATAGTATATAAACGGAAGGATAAGAAGTAAATAAATAAAATAATAACATTTTATATTGAAAGCGTTATATAGAGAAAAAAAAACTAGAGACATAACAGTAAATATTTATAAAACAAAGAGTAAAATTAAAAACAAAAACAAAAATAAATGAAATAAAATGAAAATAAAATGAAAAAATGAGAAAGGAAAAATAGAGAGAATGACAGGAAGTACCTGCTTTTGATGACAATGTTTTATTTATGTAATGTAATTAACGGAAGTTAATAAGAGTTAAGTTATACCTTTTGGAGGCATTTTGCTTCCCTGCTTTTAATAAAATTAAAATTAAAATATAAAAAAAGAATTCCATTAATTGTATATTTTATTAAAAATATACCTGTAATTACTTATAAGGATATAGTTGCACGTATAATATCCTTTTTAGCGTAAACGAAATCAAAAGCAATTAATTAAATATTTCATATAAATTTTAATAAAATTGTTAATTTTTAAGTAATAATTAAATTTTTTATCACAGCTTAAAAATAAGGGGCTATCCTCCAAAATCAAAAACTTCGCCGCATTCTTTTAAATCCTTTACCAAAAACTATAGAACATTTAGGCCATTTTCATTTTTCCTCTTTCTTTGGTTTGTAATACTTGGTTGAGTTTAACATGGTCGAACTATTGGAAATATGATATCAGGAGTATAGGCTATTAATCCATTAATTATGAACACAATTATGAATTAAGTTCAATATGATTACCTAAATAAACCAAGTAACTGAACCAAAATTAATGCAGATCTAATAATAAGCACATTCCACTTTTGTATTTTGTTAAGAAGAAACAATGTTTCAATCGTTTTACCAAAAAGAAAATTTAATGAACAATGGATTTGATCAGCATAACATAAATTTACTTGATATATTTCCACTTGTAAAATTCACTTAAAAGTGGGTAAAATTCCATTTTTTGTAAACTGAATATGCATGGCGATTTCGTTAAGAAATCTAATAAATTTGACAATTCCATATTTTGTTTGGAAAATTCACTAGATTTATTCCGAATTCAATAAAAAATCTGACAGAGAATTTTGTTAATTTAAGCACATTACGGTAATGTATCGTAGATTAGGTTGGTTACAACATAGAATTATTTCAATTATTTCTTCTCAACGGAAAACAATTACCGCTACTTCTCTTAATTTTACTTATCCAAAAATTTTAAATTGGTTGTCGAAAAAATAACATTTTTATATAATTTTAAGGAAAAGGCTGTTTAAAAATTTGAGAATATTTTAGGTCTTAAAAGTAGATAAAAATTGTTTTCTACATTATATGAGTTTTTTAACAAATATCAATTTTGTGTATAAAATAGCACATTAATACAAATTTTATGGAAGGACACATTGACGGAGTGAAAATTATAAACGTCACTTTTAAAACTTTGTTAAAAATTTGCTATGAATTATATTCCAATAAAAAACTATAGCAGAGCTTAAATCGGCATAACATTAACTGCCTTATAGTCTATCATACTTTTTTGCTCATATTTTATTCACTTTCAAATCAGAATTCACCATTTTTCTAATGGATATTTCAGTTTTTCAATTGGATTATTGCATTTTTTTCTCAAATTGTCTCAAATTTACGAGATACGCAATACGGAATCACTTTTCTCACACGAAAATTACATTATACGAATATATGATAGTTACTAACTTTATTCTCACTTACCGAGTAAAATACCGAGATACACGATCAGGCCCTAAATATCCACAATATATTGTGTAACACACCATACGACCAATTTAAAAAAATTATGAATTTGTTTAAAAAAAATTTCTTTTTTTATTATTTCTTAAACATTTTTTGTTTTTTTTTACAATATTTTCACAATATTAATTAAGAATAGTTTTCTAAATTTCAAAATATATTTTGTTATTTTTTTTTTTCTTCATTTTGTTTTCTAAATTTTATATTTTTATATTAATTACTTTGGTATTTTTAATTCACATTTATAAGAGCACATTGCGTTAGACAATATTTCTAGTGTTAATTTTTATGGTACTTCGTCGTTTTTTTTTTTTGGTTTTTTGTTATTTACATTACATAACAAAAATATAATTAAATTTTTATATTTAAACTGAACTATTAATACAAAAACGAAATACATAATTAGTCCTATACAAAAAATATTATTTTTCGATTCCCAACACCTACATTCTAGGTTGCTATTTCTAACTAGTAAACTTAAATTTAAAAAAAAAAAAAAAAACAAGAAAATTTTTTTTTAATTATTTTTTTTATATTATTTTTTTTTTCTTAGTTAATACAATATGGTGGTGGTGGTAAATTTTTTCAACCCTTTTGGTGTTTAAGTGCTTAATATTATTTTAAAATTTTTGTTTTCTAATTAAATTTTTTATAAATTTTTTCACGAGGCACTCAAAATTTTTTTTTATATTTTTATAAAATTTTAAATAACCGATAAAATTTAATTAATAAATTCATTTTAAATGTTTTAATATTTTAATTTGAATAATTTATTTGTTAAATTAACAACTAAATTGTTAATTTTTTATTTAAAAAATGAAGAAAAATGTTTGCAAGTTGAAATTAAATTGAATTTTAATAAAATATTTATAAGTTCTTCCCTTAAATTTAATAAGATAAGAAAGATAAGGCTCTGTGGGTTTTTTTAAATGAATTTTATAAAAATTTTTTGTAATTATTAAATACTACTGCCCTTGTTAGTATTATTGCCCTGATTAGTATGAAAAGGCAAGGGCAGTATTAAATACTCTCATTACATTTCGCTATATGAAACAAAAACAAAATTTTTATTAATTCATTTAAATTTTAATTTGAAATTTTCAAAAAATTTATCACAGACATTTAAAATGCCAAAACTTGAATTTTATAGTCTTTTTTTTTTTTTTTAAAAAAAATATCTTGTCTTTATTGAAAAATTAATTTTGAATTTTAAAATAATTTTGTAATTTGCAATTTATTTTTTTATATAAAAATTTTGTTTATGTTGAAATAATCTAGACATTTTTTTTAAAAAGGAACTAAATTTTAAATTTACACTAAAAATTTAACAAAAAAATACAAACCCTATTTGCAAAGTAACCAACAAAATATTTATGTGAATATTTTAAAAAATATTAATTAAAAATTTTTAACTCAAAATAATTCAAAATAAATTTAATTTTTCAATTTTCCAGAAACTAAAATTATTAATTTATACTTTATATCTTAATTTAATTTTGAAAAAAAAAATAATTTAATTCTAAAATGCTTATTTATTTTCATTCCATACCCTACACATAGTCTTCCAACATTCTTAAGAATTAAAACCACAGATTTTTTTGTAATTAAACCGTTTTAATTGAGATCAAATTCCCTTTCCTTTTACATACATATACGTACTCACCAATACGCTTATTAAATTTAAATACGACAAAATAAGAAACATACGGGAGTACTAAAGCAATTATAACATAAATGTTCGGATCAAAATTAGAAGAGAATATTATAACAAGAGAAATGAAATAAAGAGAGAAAAAATGAAACTACATTATTAAAATTGAAATTTTTTTTCTTTAAATAAACACGAAAATTGAAACAAAAAAGAAAAAAATTTTAATACAATTTAAGTCCTCATCATACTTGTCTACTCTGAGCTGAGTTTTGCCAAACTTACTACAGTGGGAAATAATCAATTTTCTCCACTAGTTTGTAACTTATTTCTGAAATTTTTTTTTTTGTAATTTGTTCCATTTATTTTATAAAGGCAAGTATAAACGAGGCCCTAACACAAACTCCTATTATTTCTCTATATTATTCAATATATTCTATAATTTTTTAAATTATTTTGGTTTTATTTATTTTAAAAATTTTTATCAAATTTTAATAGCAATTTCTAATTTTCATTTCCAATTTTCGTTGTCTTTGTTATTCTAAGAAGGTTATTTTTTCAAAAATACACCCTACATGAAAAAAAAAACAAACTTTATAATGTTTATTAAAACCTTCTTAATTTTTTTTTAATATTAATACTTATTTACTTAGTAGTATTATGTAATATAGGCAAAAAATGAAATATTCTAAGGCACATTGCCTTTAATTGTGTTCAATGATTTATAATTAAAAATGTTATTACTACTACCAAAAAGTGCAAAAATTTTTGTTATGGTAGATTTTAAATACAATCTTGAATATAAATTAACCCATTTTTTCGCAATGTGCGAATATTACCACAGATTTTGATATTACCAGGAATAAAACTCTTTCAAAAAGCAATTCAAAACAAAAACGCGTGCTTAGTACAATTTAAAAGTCCCTGCCAATATCAATACAACGAGGAAAAAATGGGTTAATAAAATTAAATCTTTAATTAATTCATTAATAAATCTACGGTATTTGAAAAAAAAAATTGAACCGAAAATAATTTTAAGTTCCAATTAATTATAACTAATCTGATTTTAGTATGACAATTTTAATGCTTCAGTTTTTCATTTTTATTAGAATTAAATTAAGAAAATATTTCAAATTATAAATGCTTTATGATATTAAATTTATATACTTAAAATTATAATATTTTTATATTTTATTAAAATTAATTAAATTTTAATTAGAACAAGAAAACAAATATAAAAATTCAAATGATATGCAAAGTGAAAAATAATTGGTATAGAAAATTTATTCGTATTTCATTTAGAAATCGACAAACACATTTTTAATGAAAATAATTTTTAATAGTTATGTAAAAATAACAAAATCAATAATTAATTTTATTTACATTATTAAAGGCTTAATTTTATATAACAACTTAAAAAATTTTACAAAATAAAAGTGAGTTTTCAATAGTTTTGCGGGAGCTTTAAATGTCATAGTTGTCAAACTTTTTGATTAATAAAACTATTGAGAAGCTTTTATTTGACCAACATTTTGACAGATCTCTGAATATTCAATTTTCATGTAAAACTATCGAAAAACCCACCTTCATAATTTTCAAAAACTTAAATTATATACACTTATACATACATACGATTAATTTTATTTGAAAAGACACTGTGATTAGCAAAATTTTACATTTAAACATTTTATTTGTTGAATAAATTTTAGTTTTATAATGGAAAATAAAAATAATTTTTTTTTTTCGGAAATTTTTACATGAGTTATAATTATAATTTTGTAAACTTTTCGTAGTACACAACGACAACTATTAATATTCACCTGGGGCTACTCGAGAAAGAAAATGTTTCTCTTCTGCAAATTATTTTGACATTATTTTGACAAACTCACAATTTTTCTATAAGTGACGCTAATGGCATTTTTAAGTGTCAACTTTTAAATTCAATTAAATGGAGGAAGCAAAATGTAAAATATTTTACTGGAAAATAATGAAAATGAAATGAATAGATGACAATACTGCCTTGACTTACTTATGCGATTTGAAATTTTATTATCAGATAATGTCAGTGTCAAATGTCACCAAGCTATTTCGGGTTACCGCCTAGTTTTTTTTAATTATTTTAAAAAAACTCGTAAAAATCGAAAAAGAAATTCGTGTAAGAGTGAATTTTTAAACAAGTTTTGTATATTTAATTGAATAAAAGAAAATAGCGCAAATTACCATTTGACAATTCTATTGTACGTGCATACTTAACTTAATTACTTTCAATTCAACCTTATTTGTGTACTTCCAAATTAAATTGCATATTAAATTTTGTATTATTGTTAGCCATTTTTTTTTGTAATGGCTAATTTGTTTACAAACATAAACTTTGTAAAATATTTATGACTCATGTAAAATAATTCCCCGCAAACCTGAACAATATTCACAACATTAAAAAATATAAAAAGCTTATTCTTATTTTTATATATTTTATGCATTATTTTTTTGATTTTTCAAATTTTATGAATTTTATAAAATTCAATTCATACTCGTAATTATATTTTGTTTATTTAATTTATAAAAATATTTTTCAAAATATTTTAAATACAAAAATATTATGTCTTCACAATTTGTTTTTTTTTTTCTATTTTTTTTTTTTTTTTGTTTTCGATCACTTACAAACATAGAAATATTAGTTACAATGTTTAAATGTTCTTTACATTTTTTATTTTTAATGATAAAAATTCAAAATTAAAATTAAAAAGAAAAGCAAAAAAATAAATTATAAAAGATTTTCATCGTCCGAGTCATCTGGAACATTTTGTAGCAATAAATTTGCAGCGTCTTCGTGACGTACCTTAAAAGTATAAAAAAAATTTGAAATATGAAAAACATAAATTAAAAATTCTTATACAATTAAAAATAAATAAACAAAAATGTTAATTTATTAGTAATTTAAAAAAAATAAAAGTTAAATGTAGAAAAAGCGAAAGAAAATTAATTGTTTTTAAAAAAAATAAGTGAAGGTGCACTATAAAAATTATAATATACCCTGACATCGGAAATGTACATATTTAAAATATTGCGAACACAATGTCGCATTCAATTGAAAATGTGATCGAATAAATTTTACATTTAGTCGAAATTCATTTATTTCAATGTGTTCATGAACCATTTCTGCAACACTAATTGCCATTTGAAGTATTTTGTATATACTAATGTCAATTTGAAAAATATGATGACAACAATATCAGAGACATTATGTTAAAAATAATCAGAATTGACACAATGTCAAAAATTTTATAAATTTTGCAACTCAACACTTTGTGTATTAAATATACATTGTGTCGAATTCAATTTTTTTTTTATTGACAATTCCGATGTCACCGATATTCAATTACATTGTATAAGGGTTAGGTTAGTTCATTTAATATATTCATCGACGAAGTATTTAGATTTTAAAAAGTTTACATTAACTTTCATTAAAATTTAAAATGAAAATAAACAAACTGTGATTTCAATAATGCTTTATAAAAAGTTTAAGTACGGTATTAATATGATTGTACTACCGTCTCAGAGCTTTCAATACCTTTACATTTTAAAAAAAGAACTGCTAAAGCTTTGGAATACATTTTGGAATACAATTTTTGCAATATTAATACATACTTTGACGTTTGCTCGAAAATTTCAATTTAAAGTTCTGTGCAAATGTTAGTTTTTAATAAACGTTACTGCATCATTAAAAATTTAGCACTTTTATGCTGCATTTTAGGAAAAAAACTTAAAAACTAGCTCTTTATTGCTGAAAATATATGCTTGTTTATTTAATTGGATTTTTCTGGCAACATTTATATGACAAGGTATAAGAAAAGCGTGCTCGATTTTTGGCATACCCGATTTACTTTTATTTTACATATCCACTACGTATAGAACGCATTTAGGAAAAGTGTACAATGCTAAAAGCTTTTTGGAATGTGATACATTTGGAAAGTTTACCTTGCAAGTGCATTATTGAAGTCGCATTATTCACCCCACCTCACGAGAATTCAAGTGATTTTTAATTGATTGAAAAATTGTTAGTATTCTCTATAGTTAGGTGTTTAATATATAGCAAGTGATTTGAAGTTTTTTCATTTAATGCATTAAAAATTCTGGCCGAATTTCATAGTAATAATTTACTAAATTCTCTTTACCATATAAAAGTTTCAATGTTATTGCATATGTAATTAAAAATTTTGTAAGAAAGAACTGAAATAAAAGCGATTTTAAAGCAAATTTACTTGATTAATTGCACTAAAGCAGCTCTATTTCATATTATCAAAATCAGAGTGTCCTAACGTATATTAAAATTATTTTGCAAAAAGCGTATATCTAAAACCACTTGCGAAAAATTTAGGCCGATGAATAAAATTTTTTAAAAAAAGTGTATAAGATTTTTTTTTTAAATTTTGAAAAGAATTTTTCCTATATATAAAATTAAAATGTTTGTTAATTTTTGTTATTTTAATTACAAATTTTTTTTTAATAAATCAAATAAAATTACAAAGAATTTTCTAAAATTAATTTTGCTGTTAATTTCTAATTAAAATGAAATTCTAATAATTTTTATTTTTGTTTTTGTATATACTGTGCAATATATATATATTATATTAATATGTATATATATATATAATACATTTAAATAAAACAAAAAATTTAATATATAAAAAATTTGTATGTTATTACTTTTGCATTAACAAGAATATATATATAAGTATAATATAATTTATATATAAGAATATTATTTATTTGTTAGAAATATTAATTAAACTTAAAAAAAAATTTTTTTAAAAAAAATTCATACCCATTTTGGTTTTTTTTTCTATTATTATTTTTATTAATTTAATTAATTATTATGGTAACTTTTTATTTGTTTCACATATGAAATTCCAATTCCTTAAACACGTTGTACACACACACAATTTGAAAGAGAATTAAAATTCCATTTTAATTTGAATCAATGATAAATTAAATTAAGCAATAAATATTAAAAATATAAAATTTATTTGAATATATACAATTATGAATTTATTATGAAAATATATAATTTAAAATTAATATTTATATTTTAATATAATTGTTGTATAGGAAACGAAATAAATTTATTTTTCGGGAAATCAAATTCATTAATAAACAATTAAAAACGGGAAAAAATAGAGTTGACCTTGTCAACTCTGTGATACCCGTACGAATTTTTATCCTATGTGCGAATAAATATAACTGACTATGGGAAAGACTATGACTTTAAGTTGCCGTATTACCAGTTTTTCAAAACACTGTGTGTGCCAAACTACTACTGAAATTGTATGGCAGCTACCTGCAAGAGCCAAGCTATTTTAAAGAATTGTTATATTACTACTAATATTATTTGCTTGTGAGAAATATCAATATTGCAGCTTTAATAGTTTCTGAGATATAGCCAAATAAATTTTGAAGCTGTATGGCAGCTACCCGAACCAGTACCTCGATCATGTCGAATTTAAATAAATCCAATTTAAATACAATAAATTATTTGTGAAAATTTGGTGAACTTAGCTCAATTCGTTTTTGAGTTATCCCTGGGACGGACTCACGGACGGACGGACCGACAGACGGACAGACAAAGCTAAATCAACTCAGAATTCGACACTGATCAAAAACATACACTTGAGTCTATATCTAAGACCGTTTTTTCTTAGCATTACAAACGGTAAGGTAAATTTAGTATACCCTTCGAACATACGTTCGTACGGGTATAAACACACGCATAATCAATTATCACGTAAGTTCAATTTTTTCGAAATTTCAATCTAATGTAAGAAAATTATTGGATTATGCAACGTACGTATGTAGAATTTCCAAAAATGTAAGTGAATATTTAAATTGGGGTTGTTAAAACAATGAATTTATAAAATTTTTTTGAAAAGATCAGAGCCCGGAAACCGAAATTGGAACGATTTTGCGTTTTTTATCATATCTACAGAACGGATTAATGGAATATCCTGAAATTTGATGTCTGAGTTCTAGTTATTACTGAAATTAACTGGGTGAACTTTTCAGAGAATTCGGGTTTTGGTACAAAGCAAAATTCTAATTAGAGCCAAATTTAGACCTTTCTAGGTATGTTAAGCTAAAAGTTCTAACTTCCTTAAAATTGAAAATATTGAAATGATTCTTCTGTAACATTTTCACTAAACTAGGCATTGACAGATTGCGATCGGTTATGCGCTGGCCACATCAGATTTTTAATATTGTTGAAGTAAAGAATTTCTTTCATTCTATTTTGACATAAGTTAGTTTTTGCCTTTAAAAAAATTTTCTTAAATATTTCAAATTGCAATTTACCACGAATTGTCATTTTTGCAAGTAATCCACTAATATTCTAACCATTTCAATTTAGAATGAGAGAAAAATTAAATATGAATATGAAATTGAATGGTGGGGAATTTAGTTTTAGATATTTCGGAGAACAACATGCATATAGGTTTGAGTAGTAGAAAAGAATAGAAGAAACTCATTTTTGATGAAATAGCGTATGTTAACCAAGTACATTTCCACAAGTAAAATATATTTTTCGAATTAAATAAATTTTTTTCTGCATTTTGGAAAATTAGAAATACGAAAAATTATCAAATCTTTTTCTAAACGACAGGCAGAAAAATTATTCTGAAGTCTAAAGAAATAGGTATTTAGAAACGATTTTTAAAATGCAAATGAGAAAATTCCGACACAAAATTTTTAAATAGATTTTGCCAAATAATTTTCATCTATAATTTAATCCTTAACAAAATATGAATTAAATAACCTAAATGGTATTTAATAATCAATATATTGGAAAAATTTAAATTTTTTAATATTGGAGGAAATTATTTAAAAAAAAAAAACTAATAAAATTATTCATTAGTTTCGATAACACTAAAACGCAAAAATTTAAATTCACAAACAGTAAACCCTAAATATAATGAACACTCAAAAATTTACAAATTGAATAAATAGGAAAAATCAAAAACAGCTCAAGAATTATGTCCTTAAAACACAGATTTTGTTATATAGAGCTGAGAACAAAGACTTAAATGAAGTATTCATTATATTGAAATTCTACTGCACCAATATTTTTTTACAAAATTCTCCAATTCATATTGTATCGTAATTATATTCAAATAATTCTTAAAGTTATTTTATTATTAAAAAAAAATAATCGAAACAAAATTTTTCAAACGAAAATCCAATAAATTTTTTTTTAATTAAATATTAAAAAAAAAAATATATATATATATATATATATATATAATTGAAATAAGTTTATCTTACCCGACTATATTGTACGCCACTATTAGAATTCCTTGTTAATACACCACGTATTTTACTTCTTACATTTTCATTACGTAAAAGGACTAACATACATCCAACGAATAAAGCGAAACAGAATAAAAATGTAACTGTTATTCCTATATATACAAACATAAGTATATGTGTATTTATATGTAACAATGTAATAACAACAAAATAATAACAATATAATGTTATTTTTCATTAAAAAACAGCATGCAGGCGTTATCATACATAAAAATTACCAGGATGTCATCATAAGGCAGGCACGTTGTTGAAAAGAAAAAAAAAATAAAAAAGAGAAAGAAAAAAATTAATTATACTTTTCTATATTCGTTATCATCATAACAATCATAATTGTTTATAAGTATGTAAAATGTCTGTAGATATTTGTGTTTACAATAATTGTATAAAAATGTTAGTTAAATAATATGTAAAGAAAATGAGAAATGATAACAGACGGATTGACAGAATTTTGTTATAATGTTTATGTAATGCTCCTTAAAATGTTTATGTAATGTTCCTTGCGGGATACAACGAAAAAATAATAATATAATAATAAAAAATACAAAAGTAATTGTGTTACTTTTGTTTTATGTGCTGCTCTGTCATATTTTTTGCAAGATTTACTATTTTCATAGTTATTCTTAAAGCCATTAAAAAAAAATTATGAAGCAAAAAAAAAGGATACGAAATTGTGTAGCAAAATATTTTTTTCATTATTTTTTTTACCTGATGCTGACATTGTTCCAGTTGATGGAGTTGTACCGTTGTCTGTAATTGTAGTTGTTTTATTATTTGATTTTTCTGTTGTTGGTTCAGCAACTGATTTTGTTGGCATCGGTGATGGTACACTATGATTTTCTTCTATATTTTTTTGTGTAGCTTCAGTAGCTGTTTTTGTTGCTGTTGTTGTTGCTGCTGATGCCTCTGTTACAGTTGATTTTGTAACTATTTCATTTGATGGAATAACAATTTTTGGTTTTTCATTATGATTAATTATTGTTGGAATACCCAAAAATGGACAAATGTCTGGTATATTTTGATTAATCATTAATGAACAGTTATTGCCCTACAAAAAAAAGAAAATGAAATTGTAATATTGCATTTCACAAAAAAAAAAAAAAAATATAAAACAAAATTGTAATTTAGCTTTAAAAAAAATTACTGAAATTCATAGTTTGCAAAATAGCATAGAAATCACTTCAACAATTTTCAATATAGAAACTATTTTTGTGACTTTAAGTTTAAACCGTTATACAATAATATTTATAAAACTGTTATACACTATTTGTACAGCATTAGATCTGAATGCCTATCCATATTGAATAAATTTATTGATTACGATATAATTTTTGAGAAAATTTCTCCTAAATTTTATCGTAATTATTGATTACGATAAAATTTAGGAGAAATTTTATAGTAATAAATTTCAAAAAAGAATTATACTAGGCATTATACCTAATTTTTTTTGGTTAAGAGCGGCAATGTAACAATCTTGCTAGCTTTTAAGTTCGACACAGTTTTTAGTGTTAAAAAAATTAGAAATCGAAAAATGACATTAGCATATTTTTAGGGGTCACCAATCAGGAAATGAAGAACAACAAAAATATTTTGTTTTATTAAAATAAAACATTTCTCGACAAGCCATTGGTGAAACAATTCTAGTTGTCGTGTAAAAGACAAATTAGTTATACAATTAAAGGAAAAGCATTTTAAGATAACCGTAAACTCAAATCATCAAATGAATAGTCTTAGAATTTTTTCTACATTTTTTTATAATAAGAAAAATAATTCCTACTAAATTATTTAATAGGAAGTCGTGCGTTTTCAAAATTTGCACGTTATTAGTTATCATTAGAGACACAAATACTACATCATTGCCGAGTACACTATTGGTAATTAAAAATTATTTAGAAAATTTAATATTACACTACATCTTCCACTGATATTTTATATTTAATTTGTACAGTATACAATCCATGTAAAATACCATTTATTCAATACAAAAACACAAACTATAAATAATGTCTATACAATAATTTCTATATAAAGAGCAGCAATTATCACAAATTTTGTTTTACTATGAATTTCTATATAAAACTTAAAGGAATAACAAACATTAACTACGTCAAATATTCTGCAGCCAAGTAAGAAAAAATAAAATGAAAAAAATCTGCCTACTTTTACTGCATAATGCACAATTTAAATGCATTTCAATTTCAAGTATCTTTTCTTTTAATGTTTTCAAAAAAAAAAAAAAAATGTTTTACTGCATTTTATACTTTTATATTGTAAATTAAAGCAAATGTCATGATTATTTTTAATTATATCCTTCTATTAATGCCAAAACTCTTCGCACGACTTCCGATTAAAAAAAAAATTGGTATAAGACGAAGAAAAATTGTATTTTATGTAGAATTAATGGGAGAGGGAGTGGAGGATTGGACTCCCATAGTATATCCTTTAACTGGTCGTTTATTCTGTCTTCTATACTTTTACAGTTCTCACGTTATTTTCACTTCGCTCTTTTTACATCTCAAAATATAAAAGAAAAATAAACAATTTTTTTTTTAGAATACTTTTTAGCTCTTTAATAGCAATTTTCATTTTTTTGTTTTTCTTGTTTTTCTATTTGGTGTCCTTTTCAACCATTCATTGCAAGTCAGCGTCATAATTATTATTTTTGTATATAATAGTTGTTTAACGAAAAACAAAACACCAGGGATAAAACAAAGCAACAAACTTTCATAATAATATGGGGCAACAGAAAAACAGCAACAGCGTAACAGCGCAAAGAATTTTAAAACTCCAAATAGGTGAAATTGCAATGAACCATAAATTTCTTTCTTTTGTTAAAAATAAAACACTGCAGCAATTCCCCCTGAAAATCTCATCTAATTTCGTTTCCAATTCCAGTGTCTCGTTTAACGTTTTTCTTAAAAAAAAAAATTTTTTTTTTAATTTTTTTTTTTTTCTTCTTTTCAATTCAGAAAATTCAGAGATATAGTTTGTTGTGTGTCGTCATTTTAAAAATATGAAGACAATAGAAAATTATATTTTAATAAAAAAGGAAAAAAAAAAAATAGTATAAAAATTAGAGAGAGAACGTTTTATGTTATAAAACACCAAGAATAATTAACAAAAATTTATGAGTTCGTGAACTCACAGAATTTCTTTTTGTCTTAATAATTTCATATTTTTGTTATACACAAAGAATAATTCTACAGAAAAGTTCATTTCTGTCATATGGAATCTCATTAGGAGAGAAAACTCTCTTGAGAAATGTTTTTTTCTTTAATATTCAATAATAACAGTATAAATCTGAATAGGTGTTGAAGAGAATTCATTTTATGACAAATTTCATTTTAATCAGGTTTTAACAGTTATACACACATATATATATACATACATATTTACCACTGTTTAGAATTACAAATTCCGTTTTAATTATAAAAACTTTTACTTTTTAACAACTTCACTTTGCAAAATGGAAGGGGTTCATTTACATTTTTTTTGTTATATTAAAATTTTAGAACAGTATAACAATTTGTAATATTTTTATTTTAGTGTTTTTTTTCTATAAATATAAAACAAATGATTATTTATTCACATAATTTTCAAATTAATTTGAGAATAAATTCAAAAAGTTTTTAAAAATGAGAACACAATGAAAACTCATTTAGGAACCATTCAGGAATTTTTCTCTGTATTTGATAATTAAAAGATTAAAAATTGTAAAAATGTTATGGGGTTTTGGATGGGATTTAGAATAACTTAACATTTTGTTCTAAAATAACGAATTTCTAGTATGGGGAATAAAATTTCAATTTGATTCTAAAATAGTAGTGTTTGGAAATTTCTTCATACAACTGCAGAACAGGTGGATGACGTAATCAAAGAAACCAGTTAAAGGCAGAAAAATAAAAAAATTTTTCTCGTCGAACCTGACTCGAATCAGTGACCTACCGTTTTCTAGACGGACGCTCTATATACCAACTGAACTACAGAGGTATGAAGAAATTGCCGACAAAATGTTCTTTACAATTGCTTTATACTATAATCCACATGATTACTACACTACACCTTGTATTACTAATTCAATATAGTATAGTGTTTGGCTTTAATAAGTTTTACATTCTAATTTTACTATATTTTTCAATCATAATATCTCTAATTAAATTTTGTAATGCAAAATTGCTCCTAACACAAATAATATTTGAGTAACTTGGGAATAACACAAGTAATTCTCGTAAAAACTCAGCTACCTTATGTCTACAGTTAAAAACACTGGCGTACCAAGATTTTATTTCTGTTGTTCCAAATAAAATGTTCAAATTCTTATTAATTTACTTTTGTATATTTGCTCACGTTTCCCGATAACTGGGAACAACTGGGGTAATGTCTCCTTTGCACAAAAGGTGTACATGATTTTTAAATAAATCTAATAAGATCACAATATTAAAGGACAACTGATTTAAAATTTTGTACCCGGTTTTCCAATAGTTTAATAATTAACTGATACATACATGTACCAGTCGGATCTTCTTTTGCTTACATTTTATTTAGCATTATATACATGTATTGGATTTCTAAATAATCTTACATGAATTTCATTATGACCTCCAAGTTATTTCTGTATACTCGTATATGTACGAATATGAGCTTTTATAATTAATAGATTTCATTTTTAATCAAAAACCATCAAAACAAAAATTCTATAAATAATTTAATTACAGAAATGAATAACTCAAAATTTTCTAAATTAACCTAACACTATAGAACACTACCTTCATTATGCAATATACTAATATGTATAATTCACATATTTTGCTATACATACATATACACATGTAGTTTAAATCATATATGATTTACTAATTTGATAAACAAATTTTATATATAATTAATTACATATACATACCTCTGAATTTCTACCAAGGACCAACTATTTAAAAAAAAATTTACATTCAAATTTTAGTAAAAACATTCAAAAATTTTCAATTTCAACCATTACTCATATATGAACACACACAATATATATTTTATATATAACATATACAATACAAATTATAAAAACTTTTGCTATATTTTAATAAAAACATACAATTTACTCGTTACTCGTTATATTCATTAAATTAATGAATTCAAATTCATAAAAATCACATTTCATCGGAATTTTATTTTTATATACAAAATTCCCTTTGGCATTCTTCCTTTTAATTTCAACTAAAATGTACATATCCTTGTAATTTATTATATGGTATAAATACTCTATATATATATATATAATTTTTTTGTTGTTATTTTGCCTCATTTTAACCATTTTATACGAGACCATTATTATTGGTTCATGATTGGTGAGCTCAGCATTAAAAATCGTAAATTGGAAAACAAAATACCAACAAAAAAAATAGGAAAATTTTATTTTAATTTATTTATTATGATTGTATATACATACATACATATTCATAAATGTGTGTAGAGTGCATATATTTAAAATTTTCATCCGTCTATACATGCTCCTCTTATATATTGATGGTGCAGTTATTATCCTTAAACATTTTCACATAATTTAATGTATTCAGAAATAAAATGTCATTGCAGCAATTATCTCGATCAAATGAAGCGTTAATTAAATAAACAGAAAACTCTTTTTTTTTTTTTTTTTTGTTAAACTCGAAATGTAATGAAAAATAAATTTTCAGTTGGTAATATGATATAGATATTATCATTTCCGAAAAATATCCTTACAGATATTTTGTTACACTTGTATGTGCATATAGAAGAGAACGCAAAATGATTTTTATGGGATTCTAATTTTTGACTGAATCTGAAAAGAATTTTTGGTATTTCAAGCCAAAAATTTGCTTCCTTTTTTTTTTGTTGATCTTTGTTTTATTTCGTTTTGCGGACTACTGTGGCAATGCTACTTTAATTTTACAACTGAATTACAAAATTTTATTTGAAATTAAATTTAAATTATTGCTTATTTTTGTAATTAAATTTTATGCAGGATGTTTGTTAGCTTAGTATAAGTCTTAAACTATGCGTAATTTATATTAAA